ACCTTGATGTGAAATGCACGAGTTTGATGGGGTGCAGCCACCAGGGGGCAACATGGCACCAAGGTATACATATGTAACCAAGACCGCCACGGTCATATGGGGGCACCCATTTGTACCTACAAACTTAAGTATAATAATAATATAAATTAAAAAAAAAAAAAAAACCTGTGCATTCTACACATGTATCCAGATCTTAAAGTATTATAAAGAAAAAAAGAAAAAATTTTAAAGATATTGCTGATCCTTTGTTTTGTTTTTCAGAGGCAAGAAAACTTTTTCTTTTGAGCTATTGACAGCTTTTTACAAATAAGTATACTCCCATGAACAAAATTTGGAGCCTATTTGTTTCTCTCTAACTTATTTCTCCAGAATTTGGAAACTATTTGTGAGTATTCTTAATTTATGGAAATACAGTTATTTATATAAGTGCAATAAGAATTTGTTTTCATTTGTAACAGGACACAATCGGAGAAACTGGTTATTTTACCAAGGCTTTGACTGGAATGACGTGCTTTCCTTTAAAGAATCAAACTTGCCCTATAGAGCCAGTAAAAGATTTTTGGGAAAACTGGCCTTATACCTTGTCTACACAGTCCCTGTACAGGGTTCCTGAGCTGTGGTAAATAAAGAATGTCACTTTATGACAGGCCCAGGGCCCCAAGTTATCTTGGGACTGCAAGGGGAGAAGAATTCACCCAACTCATAGGTATTTGATGGTACAAAACATGGCTGGGTAGCTTGAGGCAGGAGAATCACTTGAATCTAGAAGGCAGAGGTTGCAGTGAGCCGAGACTGCACCATTTGACTCCAGCCTGGGTGACAGAGCGAGACTCTGTCTCAAAACACACCCAAAAAACAAAAAACAAAGGCTGATCTGAGATGCCTTCTATGGAATATAGTTCCATCAAAGTCAATTTAAAAAGCCTGTGTGAAAAATAATTGTTCTTGCTGCACTTTATATAAATAATCTGGCTAAGTACAATAAAGCAAATCAGTTCTACCATGATGTGTCTTTAGTAAAAACGGGAAACTGGAGAGAGAAAAATTATGTTTCAAAAACTATTGTTGGATTCTAGTTTTGCCTAACGTTTTTCAATTTTTATTATTTTCTATAATTTGGACTGGATTCTAATGTTTCTTGGCTAAAAGTCTTCAAAATAATGTTTTCATTTTTTTCCCCTTCTTTTTCTCTCATTTTTCCTCATTTGGAGTCACTGAAAACTAAGCTGTGTTTTTGTAAAGCCCTGTGAACTGATGCTAGATAACTTAAACTTCAGAAGAAAATAACAGCAACCTGTTTACATAAGTAAGTCACTTTCAAACCTGCCTACTGATGTATGGGCTTCAGAGTAATGTGGACTATATCGATTTACCAGGATTGTTCTTTTATTTCTTGCTGTTTTTCTCTCTCCCCCTGTTTTCTCTGCATAGGATGTGAGACTTCTCAACTTGCTAAAAATGAGCTTTCCTAATAACTTGGGACCTAACTGTCTAGGAATAAACCATATTAGCCATGAGAGGCCAGATGAAACCTGAGACCAGAGACTCATTTTCTTCTAAAATGCTTTCTCCAAAGATTTTAAAAAAGAAAAGGGGGGAAATGTGAAAGGAAAGTAAATCTTGAAAATCTTGGGGCCCCCAAAATCACTAACCCAAAAGGAAAAGTCAAGCTGGGAACTGCTTAGGGCAAACCTGCTTTCCATTCTATTCAAAGTCATCCCTCTGCTCACTGAGGAAAATGCATATCTGATTGCCTTCTTTGGAAAGGTTAATCAGAAACTGAAAAGAATGCAACTGTTTGTCTCTCACCTACCTGTGACCTGGAAGCCCCCTCCCTTCTTGAGTTGTCCCTCCTTTCTGGATGAAACCAATGTACATCTTACATATATTGATTGATGTCTCATGTCTCCCTAAAATATATAAAACCAAGCTGTGCACCTTGGGAAAATGTTATTAGGACCTTCTGAGGCTGTGTAACAGGTGCACATCCTCCACCTTGGCAAAATAAACTTTCTAAATTAACTGAGACCTGTCTCAGATTTTTGAGATTCATAAACTTCTCTGCAGAGTAATGTAAGACCTTCTCCTCATTGAGGGTAGGGTGACATTCTGCATATTACATTACATTTCTTTTCAGGAAGAATGAATTTTTTTCTGGGGGTGTCAAAGGGTTTGCATCCTACTCTGTAAGTCAAGCATTCAAGTTTAGGGATTGTTTCATTCAGGAGAATGAGAAAAGATCACTCTATAGCATGGATGTTGAAATGGGGGCTAAGGAGAAAGAAGCTCTCTAAGATACCTCACCGTGGGGCCAGAATTATTAACTGTAAAGATAGTTATGGTTAGCAGGAATATTTAGTAGTTTTTTCTCCTTTCATTATAACTTTTTTCTCTACATCAAGCCCTTAGTTATGTCTTACTAAATGTTATAGTACAGTAGGGAAGTTTAAAAGAAATAAGGGTCAGGCTTATGTTCACAGGCCGATCAACACCTTGGGGAGTATAGCCACTTGGGAGATCCTGTTACTGTATGGACTGGTGGACTGCAGAAGAAGGAGGCAACTGTTTGGAGCAGGACCAGCAGCAGACACAGCTTTCAGAAAGAGGGACATGTTCTGGACCATGTGAGCATTGCCCAGATTCATAGAAATATAGGCCAGAAGAACCCTGATGGAGCATAGACTTCTTGATGATAAGAAGAATTGGGTTTGGAGTCCAGAATATCTAAGTTACATTACAAAGAGATACAAATATGTGGATAAGTAAACATATTTGTTATTTCAATATTCAATTTAATCTATATTAGCCTATGTTTCACTTTATAGGCAATGTACAGCTCTTAAATTCCAAGCTATTGAATGCTGCTTGAGACTCTTCGGCTGTTGTGCATCTGAGAATGAGTGTCTGGAATGGCATTCCTTGACACTGAAAACTTGAGAACACATATTACCATGAGGAAGCCCTCTAATCAGTCAGGAATGATGGTGGTCTTGGAAGACTTCCTGGTGGACATGACTCTTGAACTCAGTTGTGAATGACAAATCAGAATAGCAGGAGAGAGAATGTTAAATGGAAATAAGGCAATCTCAACAGAGATAACAGCACGTGTATAGCACAGGTTGAGAAGTAAAGGGAACAAAGAGGGTAATGAATGGAAAAAAGAAGCCAGGAGAGATGGGATCTAAGGAAGAGGTGGAGATAAGGCTGTATTCACAGGAGACAAAAATGGCTTAAAGGAAGAGATTCTCCTGTAAATGGGAAGAAGAGAATGGAGAGAGTTCAAGTTTATGATTGCTTTATTTTTTGAACTCTTCTCTCTCCTGAAGCCATGAGCTAGGAGAAGGGCAAGGGGTACAAGGAGTGTGTGTGTGTGTGTTGGAGAAAGTGTTATATGGAGGATGGGGAGCAACATATTTACCTTCCACATGAGTTTTTATTGATACCAAGATGAGGTAAGTGGAACTCTGGTGTCCATCTGTGGGTTTGAGTCCAATAAGCTTTCTCTTTTACATTCATCTTATTTAAATCTTTGCTGTCACAGTGAAGAAATAATTCAGAAAACGTATAAAGGCAATTGAATTTAACACATATTTTATTGCCCTATAACCAGTTATGATGTGACCAGTGGATACCAATGAAACTTCTTCATTATTTGAGTCTGAAAATGCATATTTAAAACATTAAACGATTGACTGTGTGCCAAGCTCTGTGTGCAGGCATATTTCATATCTCATAAAGGCTTACAATTCTTTCAGGGAAGCAAAAGCAAAATCTATGATTAGAGGTTAGCCAATAATGTCATGAAAATGCCATGAGAATAGAGAGAGGGAATAAAATCATAAAGATATAAATAAACGTATTTGAACTACAGTTGATGTATTTTCCTAAATTACTTCTATATCATATGCCAGAGGGCCTTCAATGGAAAATCCTAGGTAGAAAGACACTCTTTCTATGTTCCTACCACTTCTGAGTGGACCTGAATAAACAGATATTACTGGTATTTTAATTTTTTCCTCTGTTCCGTATTCTACAGAGATTAGCTTGCCTTCAGCCTGACCATTTAGACGACACAGGAGGTGTTTGACTTCATTTTTTTTCCACACATCCCCACTGTGCCAGAGGGAATTTGTATTTTGTACTTTATCAAAGTACTGCTCTATTTCGGCCTTGTGAACAATACTGTTGAGACCCCTCCTTTCGCCCAGATAGAAAAGTGTGCTTGCCTGCTTGGACCTGCACATGCGCTTGTACTGTCCCCTGAAGGATCTATTTAAGGATGAAACATACTTTTCTATTAGTTTGGAATCTTGATCTAGCTCTTGATTTTCTGGCCAGAACAGGAGGCAGGCCAAGAAATAAGGGTCTGGATATTGATGACTTAGTCCTACAAATTTCAAGACCTCTCGGAGTTGCTTTTTTAGTATGGTAAGTGGTTGAATGAATCTGGAGCTGGGCTTTAGACAATTGAGAATAATGTTGGCCAAAATGGAATTTTGTTTCTCATTTGTCATGCGCTTATTTGAGTTTTGCTTCAGTAGGAAGGCATATTCATCCACTATAATTTCCATGGTGGTTGCAGCATTTTTGAAGTTTGGATTAAGATATTCCAAGAGTCCAGCAAACCTATCTGCTCTCAGAGCTTCTAGCTTTTTCCTGCAATTCTCCTCCTGGAGTAATTGACTCTCTTTACTTTGTAATAGACATGGATCCAAATGACAGAAAAGTTCTGTGTATTTCCTGAAACAACGACTGACTTTCTTGCTTAACGTGATTTCTACGATTTCTTTTTGGGTATACCTCATTTTCAGAAGAACCATATAATCAATAAAAAAGTCAAAGCACCTTTTCAGATCTGATTGTAAAGTTTTTAGGTGGGATGTGAACTTGCTAAGAGCCAAATAATATTCGTTTCTGGGATCAGGAGGAATGGTCCATTTTCCTGATAAAAATTGCACCATAGTTTTTATGGATAATTCATTTTCTTTGTGGAAAAAGGGAGTGAGCTGAAGAATCTGGATAGTGTAAAGACCAACTTCTATTTCACCCAAGAAACAAGCTGTATTATACATGTCATATCGTCTCTGGGACTTCTGTGGTGACCATTCCTCGGTTTCATAGTTTTTACTATCAGTTTGCCTTTGGGATTCTTTGAAAGCTCTTGAGGCTTTTTCGGCAGCTTCTAGGAGATGTGTTAGGTCATTAACAGTAATGCTCCTACAGTTTTTGTTCCCATCCAACCACCATTTGATTTCGCTTTTGTAGACTTGACCAAGGGTATCTGAAATATAGGAATTTTTAGGTGCTTTCATTTTGGCCTGACGTGCCCAGTCCAGAGCCGTGTTAAAGTCCTTCTCTTTGATGTAGAAATGTCTTGCTAAGGCTTGACAAATGAATGCATTTTGGGGGAATCGTCTGCTTCCTGCACTCAAGACCTTTTCAATGTCTTTATTCTGTAAAGCTTCCATTAATGGGGAAAACAAAGTGTCTGTTTCATCTCCATACTCCTTGCGCTGTCTTACAAGCAGAAGAGTTTGAACATCATGTTGAAATTTGTCTCTTCCTATTCCAGAATCATAGAATAAATTCTCGTCTAATATATTCAATGCAATTTGACATTTATCCAAGTGATAGCTTCTTTCCAGTTCTTTTAGACAGTACAGGGCAATCAGAGGGTGAATGACACGCACACCTGTGTATCTCCCATATTCTGCAACTTCTGTTTTTATTAGAAGTGTAGAATAAGTTCCCATCTTGTCTTCTAAGCTTTCAGGTTCCCAGGGTGTACTAGTGTATATGATTCCCAAAAATATTTCACACTGTGAAACTGAAATTGTAGAATCAGTGACATAAGAGTTGAGTAAAGCCAGGAAGGAAATGAGTTGTGCTTCCTTGCTGTCAACATCCTGTCCTTTTAGGATATTCCTGACTACATTTTCTATATATGTTTCATCAAAATTGCTTTTCATGATCATGAAGGAATAAAAGTTTTCACAGTTCTTGTGCTGCTTTTCAATTTCCTTCAGTTTGGCCCCAAAAGCTCTTTGTTCCTTGGAAGAAAGTTGGTAATTTAGTGCAATACTGTCTGCCAATTTTGCACTTTCATCTGGATTCTGGGATCTCATGCAGTTTAAGATGATTACCAATGTTTTTTCATATCGCAAATCCTTCTCTGCTAAAACGGAATGGATGGCATTTTGTAGAAAGTAGACATTTTCTTGTTCTTCAAAATCATCCACAAGGAGGAGCACAGGAATGTAATCCTGATGGCTGTTTGCCTCATAGGTGACCAGATTGATCACTTGCTCTCCAATTTCTGCAAAACCAGTTGTTTTGTTTTTTAACACAGCACATCTGAAGTTTTTCTTTAAGTCCCAGAGAACATGCATAGCCAGTGTGGTACCCCCACAGCCTGGATGATGATAAAGATTGATGATTTTTGCAAATATTGGTTTAGGAGACTCTGCCCAGCACTGTATTAAATCTTTAAGCTTTTCATAACTGTCCCTTTTAACAAAATCTGAAGAATAGTTTTCAGAAGAAAAATAGAAGTTCCACCAGGATACTTTGCCACCTCGATAAAAGTGTTCTTCTTTTGATTTCTTAAACTCCAGGAATTTAGATTCGTCTTTCTCGATGTCTGTGTCTCCACACTCATTTTCACAGAGGATTTCTAGTGCAGTCAAGACATCCTCTTTCTTTTTCTCTAGGATAACTGAAGAAGATCCACGGGCGGGCAAAAACCTTCTTGATGACTGAGTCACCGATTTTAGTTTAAGGATAGTGCTGTTTACCAGTTCTATATTTAATGTGGAAATACTGTGGTTTGTTAATTCATCTTCCATCTTCATTCTTGTTTGTAGTAGATCTTTCCATCGTTGATAAATATGTGAATTCACAGAGATACACAACATATTTTCCATTCCTTTGAGAGCTTGATAGAAAGCCCAGAAAGTTTCAATGAGTGGATCTCCTGGGCTTTCCACTGAAGAGAGTAATAGAAACACTACCAAAAATTTTCCTCTTGTCATTATATTTTCATCTGTGAGAAATAAAATTAGTTTCCTGACTTCTGAAGCTCTTTCTCTCTGCCATAAATGTGGTTCTAGAGGTTTATATATCTCACTTTTCAGGTCTGATCTGCCATTGCAGAAAATCCAGCTGGGCTGTTGGTAAAGATTAAGAGCAGAAATCTTCTCCCTCATGTTAGTTGTCTTGTCTTCATACTGATTTGGAAAGTGAAGGTTTGCCACTCGGCTTTCTTTGTAAGCTTTGACCACTCCATTGGTCGCAGATTCAGGATCAAACTCCAATACAGCAAACCATTTAATTTCCTTTAAAAAATCTAAGTGCTTTATTTGGTTCGGATGGCATTTATTTGTTACAAGAATGTACCAGTCATAGTATGAATTATCCAGTGAGTCTCGGTTTCCTATTAGAAGTTTAACCAGCTTTAGTCCTTCACTCTCCTTCTTCATTGCCTTCATTCCATACTCTTCTTCAGCCTCTTTTCTAGATGCCACCAGTGACTTTAAATTTTGTAAAAATTCTTTGAAATCTATATCCCGTTGCTTGGAATTGGCCAGGATATCCCTAGAGCTAGCCCCTTCTCTTACAAACAGTGAAGGATTTTGGTTTTGTTTCCATATTTTATCTTTACAAATTTGCATCTGAATGTAGAAATACTTATCTTTACATATAGAGTGTTTTGGAATAATATCGACTTCAATGACAAATCTGTCAGATGGCATATTGTTCTGCAGAAGGACTTCCACAAACCTTGGCTCCCGAATACACTTCTTGGCTTGATTGATCTCACTTTCTTCAAAATACTTTTTGATCATTAGATTAAAGTGGTCAATGAAGGCATCCTTACTGGTGATTTTCACACCAACAATTTCTCCATGGGGTTTGTCCTTGACTCCAAAATGGATGGTGCCATTGGTGCGTGAATTCATACAAGCTGATGCAAATCGGAAGACTTCATTGCTGAATTTCATCTTAATGTCCGCTTCTGTGGCTGTTTCTGTGTTTGTGAGAGCTTTGAACTCATGTATTGGATCAATGAGATTGAGTGCTCCTGTTTCAGGTTGTAGAGTATAATGTTCTATGTAGCGATGGCTGTCATGGAACTGATCAAAAGGATATGGCATACAAGTCAATTGTTCAGGTTTTAGCTCACCCTTTTTCTTGTCTTTAGCATTTGCTACTTCTTCTTCTAACACATTTTCTTTCACAAGAATTGATTCTCGTTCTTTGATATCTCTGACCTCTCTGGGATCATAATCAATATTGGATGACATTGAATTTTCTTCTTCCTTTTTGGTCTGTTTTGGATCTTTTTGGTGTTCTCTTTTGGACGGTTTTGAATGATCTACTTGTCCAGGATCATGATTGTCACTTTCAGGGGACTTACTATTCAATTTGTTATATGAACGTTTTATCAAAAGTGCTGGACCCCGTGGTAGCCCCATTTCTATAAGGTCCTTCTCAGTTAATTCCTGCAGGACTAATCCTGTCACTTCTTCACTGAGCAGAATTTGTCCATATTGCTCATTAATCTTAAGGTCGTCAGTTACCCATTTTTTCACATGCTCTTTGGTCCAGTCTTTAATAATTTCAGGTAGAGATACTTGTTTACTCATATCAAAGCTTCAACTTCTTCCTGAGAAAAAGCAATATAATAGTATTTTAGAATTATACTGTATTATTAAGATCATACAGTCAATTATGTATACATTATCATACAGAAGATACATATGTATATGTATAATATTGCTCAAGGCTGACTCTTAAAACTGCTTGATACTTACTTTAGCTGTTTTACCACCCTAATTCATACCCTTGTTTCTTAGGTGACTCTAATTGTAATTATGAAATAAGCTGTAGCTGCTAACTAGGTGACACGCCTTTTAGCCTTATAATAATTCTCCCTTTTAGCTTAACTTGGTGAAAGTTGGGTTTTTGTAACTTAAAACCAGAATCTTAAGTAACATAGAAATTGGTTCCCATAGCATATAGGAATATTGCAAATATACTTTAAAATAATGAAACTGGATAGGTAGAGGTGGGTTAAGGAACAGAAACCCACAGCTGACTATCTTTGTTACATAGTAACGGAGCAGTTGGTAAAATAATCATCTGTTTTCTTTTGGAACTCAAGCTATTAGGCCACAAGGTTAGGGTTTGGAGGAACTTGGTAGCAAAATGTCAGGATAATTGATTTGATTGGCTAATTCTTGTGCTCTCAGGAGGTACCAGAAGAGACTAGCTGTAATTCAAGCTGGGCTCCCTGAAACTAAATACGGAACATAGTATGAGTTTTTAATTTTGTTAGAGCCATTTTCTCCCAAAATATTGATATGAGGCTAATGAAGGTCCTATAATTATGTACTTTGATGAATGGCAAGACCTGCCTATTTTGGACTCCTAGAACAGGGGTTCTCAACCTCAGTTAAACATTAGAATCACTTGGCATTCCACACCTCAGACTGCATTAGTTGGTTGAGGGAGTGAGGGTGGTGTTTTCAGGCATTAGTACTTTTAAAAATTTGCCTTGGTGCATCTATTGTGCAGATAAGACCAACAGCAGTGGTTCTCAAGGTGTGGTCTCCAGACCAGCAGCATCAGCATCACTTAGAAGCTGGCTAGAAATGTAAATTCTCAGGCCCCTACTTAGACCTACTGAATCAGAATTTAAAAGGTAAATCAATTAATTAGTTTAAGTAAACAGAAAACCCAGAAAGTGAGACTATTTTAAGGATAGACAAAACAACATTAAAAGATCAAATGAAACAAAAATACTAGACTAAACTATAAAAAGAGAAAATACAAGCATTTTAAACCAGGGGTCCCCAAATCTGGTGACCTGGACCAGTATCAGTCTCTAACCTGTTAGAAACTGGGCTGCACAGCAAGAGGTGACTGGCTGGCGGGTGAGCTGGCAAAGCTTCATCTGTATTTACAGCTTCTCCCCATAGCTTGCATTACTGCCTGAGCTCCACATCCCATCAGATCAGTGGTGGCATTAGTTTCTTATAGGAGTGAAAACCCTGTTGTGAACTGTGCATGTGAGGGATCCAGGCTGCACCCTCCTTATGAGAATCTAGTGCCTGATGATCAGTCACTCTCTCCCATCACCCCAGATGGGACCATCTAGTTGCAGGAAAACAAGCTCAGGGCTCCCACTGAGTCTACATTATGGTGAGTTGTATAATAATTTCATTATGTGTTACAGTGTAATAATAATAGAAATAAAATGCACACAAAATGTAATGCCCTTGAATCAACTCAAAACCATTCCTCACTACCCCGTGGAAAAATTGTCTCCCATGAAGCCAGTTCCTGGTTCCGAAAAGGTTGGGGACTGCTGTTTTAAACGATTTGTAATTTTTAGGTTCCTTAGCTTTAAGGAACCTAAGCTTTTTAAAAAAAATTTAATGTACAGCCAGTGACAAAGTCTAGCCAAACTGCAAATTTGAACCATCTGTACTTGGAGCTTCTTGGAAAAGTTCACCAGAAAGTCCCCTTGAAATTATGCATGGAGAATAAGCTAAACTGGGACTTCAACTTGCAGCCCTGTGATTGGCCACAGAGGAAACTTGCACTACACATTTGTGGTGTGAATACTGTATTTGCACCAGGATGATTTACCCCAACTATAGGCATGCAGCCACTGAGCCTAGCAGCTTCCACTTGCCTTGATAAAACTGTTCCTGGTTGTCTTAGTGCCTTGAATTCTCTTTCTTACTCTGGCTTCAGTCTGCGGATCACAACTAGTCCTGGGCCAATTAGCAGAACCATAAGCAACTGGCACAATGAACACTATAAACATATTTTAGGTAATCAATTCAGTTCATCTGCAGTGTAGACAGAAGTCACTTGTGGGTCTTAGGAGGTCCCACAAAAATTAGCCCATATATTGTAACTAGACATAAGTGTTATTTATCTTAAATAGTGTAATCTGTTCATTCATTCAACACATATTTAATGAGCACCTATCATGTACCAGGCATCATGCTCAGGAAAAACAGTGATAATCAAAACAGATGTGAAGCTCTTTCATGATATTTATTGTCCATTGGAGAAGATAAAAAAATGAAATAAGTCACACACATACACACACGCGCACACACACTCAAAAGTTTATACTGACAGTGTGGTAGTGCTTTTTGTCAGACACAAGAAGGAGTCTAGGCCTGGGATATGTGAGGAGGAAGAGGGTGGGAACACTGGGCAGGTGAAGTTAAGGGAACTGCTGGAGTCATGTGAGAGGCAAGTGAGGGAGAAAGCCTGGAGGACAGAGTTAGGAAATAAGAAATATCTACCTGGTGGACCTGCCAAAGGCTCCTTTAGTGGGTCTAAGGGGTATGACATAGTACTGTTCCAGCAGTGGGCAGTTCCTACTCCTGTACCCAGAGCCAGAGCACTGGGCCTGCCATAGAGTACTCCTGGGCAGATGGAGCCTGGGAGCCTGGTAAGCTCATCCCTGATCTTCCCATCTGCCCTGCAGAGGCCCTAAGTATCATCTCAGGTAAGACTGACAGAGGGGCCCTGCCTCACCTGTTTACAAGCATTATATAAAACCAATAGTATAAGCAGTTATTAATAAACATCCTTAATGAAAATTTTTTTGAAGTCATTACATATGAGATAACTACCATAGTATTTTAAACCTTAGTCTTAAGATATTTCATACTTTGAAAATTTGCTGAATACTTACTTTTTATGTATTTTATACATTTTTAGATGTTTTAATACATTTTGTATTAAAATGTAGGAAGCTGAAGGGAAGAGGACACTTGTGTCCTCAGATACCATTTCTGTCATAATTATTGGTGGCTCAATAGATATGTCATTGATTCTTCCAATACAATGGCCTCTCACCCGATTGACTTTTATCTTGACATCAACTCACCTCTATTCCCATGGTCATATCCTTGACCTTACCATTACTATTATGGATTGAATTATATCATGCCAAAATTCGTGCGCTGAAGTCCTAACCTCCAGCACCTTAGAATGTGACTTTATTTGGAGACAGGATTGTTGTAGATGTAATTAACAGACATGAAGTTATTATAGTGGACCCTAATCCAATATGACTGAGGTTTTTGTAAAAAGGGGAAACTTGGGCACAGAGGCTTGCTTACACACAGGGAGAACAGTATATGAAGACGAAGGCAGAGGTCAGTGTGATGTTTCTACAAGCCAAGAATCATCAAAGATTGCCAGCATGCTACTGTGAGAGGCATGGAAGAAATTCTCCCTGGTAGCCCTCAGAAGGAACCCACCCTGCCAATACCTTGATCTTGGACTTCTAGTTGCAAGGATTCTGAGATAATACATTTCTGTTGTTGAAGTGACTCTGTGCTACTTTGTTATGGCAGCTCTAGCCAACAAATACAGTTACTGAGAACTACAAGCCCTCCATCCTCTCTGTTTCAAACGCTTCCCTGTCCCTACCGTCTCTTGCCCCTCAGGCCCACTGCCTTTAGTGCTCAAACACTAGTAAGTATTTCTTTAACACCAACACCTTCGATCTATAGATTCTACTACCATCTCACTTTTCCTCACTCTGTTCATGTTTCACTTTTCCTCTTTTACTGGCTTAATATTTTTTGATTATTCATCATTATCACTTATTTTTCTCCTCTCTGGTACACTCTCACAGTTAAACTACAATGCTAGTTACATCCACCACTCAGTCGCCAACAGCTTGTCAGAGCATGGCTGGAGATGGCCCTCCACACCCTGACTGGAACATGGCTGGACAATGGCCCTCCACACCCTGACTGGGACATGGCTGGTAAATGGCCCTCCACACCCTGACTGGAACATGGTTGGACAATGGGCCTCCACACTGACTGGAGCATGCTGAACAGTGGCCCTCCACACCCTGACTGGAACATGGCTGGACAATGGTCCTCCACACCCTGACTGGGACATGGCTGGTCAATGGCCCTCCACACCCTGACTGGAACATGACTGGACAATGGTCCTCCACACCCTGACTGGAACATAGTTGGACGATGGGCCTCCACACTGACTGTAGCATGTTGAACAGTGGCCCTTCACACTCTGACTTGAGCATGCTGGACAGTGGTCCTTCACACCCTGACTGGAGCATGCTGGAAAATGGCCCTCCACACCCTGACTGGAATATGGCTGTAACTGTATAATGGCCCTCCATACCATGACTGGTCTCACCTTAATGCTCTCAGCTACCATGCTTTATTTTTTTCTCTGCTTTAGTCAACCCTTCC